ACAAATGGAAGTAAATTGCACCTTTTTGTTTAGACTAGACAAAATGATTGCTGAGATATAATTGAGGGGAAGATACTCGGAAGACTTGTTTTGCTATGTTTTGCCATGGCATTTCAGGTTAACGAGTCAACAGGAGAAAGTGCAACACTATTTGAGTAAACATAAGTTTCCTGGCTTTCTCTCGATGAACAAAATCTGAATTTGCCATTTGCAGCGAGTCTATTGAGAGTATTTGTAACTGTTTCTAATGTGGATGAGTGAATAAAAGAAACACCTAATTACCAATATAGTCAGCAAACTTGCTAACGAATCATATGTACCGATTCAAACTGGCGTCTGGAGATCATTATCATCCCATTTTCAATAGAAGGCCAAGATGCTTTTAGAGAGGGGCTTGATTGGTGCATGAATTTTCTATAATAATTTTTATCGTTAAATTCTCAAGTTGAGTTCAGTATTTAATATTTAAAATAGCTCAAAACGAGAAAAAATACAAAAAAATTAGCATAAAGTAATGACTTGAGTGAGCCACCATTTCCTCTTTTTGAGACTAAGGGGCCCAAAGTATTTCAGATTGATAATGATCTCCAGACATCAACACAGGCGATTCGTTAGCAAGTTTGCTGACAATGTGGGTAATTAAGTGTACCTTTCATTCACACGTCCGCAGTAAGAATTGCAGAGAAACACCCACAAAAATATTGATCTCATATTCACTCTATTAAGGTAGCGAGACTATTATTTGTGTTGAAAATTACGATTTTCACATTTATTTATTAATTGATGAAATGCACTATAAACTTTCATGTGATAAAGTCAACATAACATAGACTGTCATGTAAGTTGGTTAAAATGTAGATTTTCTGAAGGGAAGCAAGGCAGCCTCAGTAGTGTTTTCCAAAATCAACAACACAGGTTTAATCTGTGTAACTATAAGTTTCAAAGATAAACTCAAGACAAAGCAATGTTAGGATGTGTTATCAGTAGCTATCTGACACACAATTAGTGTTTCCAAACATTTGAGTGGTTTGTTTCCGCCCCTATTTGTTACACAGATTAGTCATTTGCATATGAATGTGTCAGACACAAGGTCACACAGCCACTGAAAAAAATCATTGATTTTGGTGTTTTCATATGCCGAA